TTTTTATTTATTTATCTTTTAAAAATATGATGGAAAAATAAGTTTTTTTACATCATTTCAACGGACTTTTAAATATAAAATTATTATTAAACACAAAATGTGTTAATTAATGTAAAGTTTCAAGATAAGAATAAGATGAAAATCGTAAGAACATGAGTGCTATAATAAGTAAAAATTTAAAACTTTAAGTGCAATTAAAATATAATACAAAAGATAATAAGAATATTATCTTGTTCGGTCATCATTATTTTAAAATATATTTTTCTTTTTCTTATTTTCAGTCACATACTTTTTAATAAAATAATATTATACATAAATCCAATATTTTTCATTATTTTCAAACCACGGATTATTCGCTAAAATAATATTTCAAACTGCATTTTAAGCAAAAACCAAGGCTTGAACATGCCCATAAATAAATGAGCAATGTTATTTAATTTCACGGGAGTTATAACATCAGTTTATGTAACGTTAACATAACATTAAATGATAGATGAGAACACCATTTTCTTGTCATCTCCATGAAAACCTCTAAAAATTACATCCAAGTCACCAACCTATTACAAATGTGGCAGGTAGGCTTCCGTTATATTTCCTTTTACGATCCTAATCTCCAGCTTTAATTTTTGTAGCAGTTGGATCTCAATCTACGATTTACCTATCTTTGAATGAAAATTTTAATTTTATCTTTATCTTTATCTTTATCTTTAATTAATAAAATAACTAAATAAGGGAAAACATAAAATGGAAAAGACGTGCCCAACCTAAAAAATATAAGAATAGTAAAAATGAATTAAGAATTTAGTGTTTACAGAAGAACGTGTCAAAGTTTCGATCTTGAACACGATTACTAAGCTATTGTTGTTAAAATGGGTAAAATTAAAACTTTTAAGTTGAAAACTTCTATATTTTATCGATTTTCTCACCGATGTCTTAGAGCATGTTTGGTACAGATTCTCATTTTCTACAGTAAATCAATTCTCATTTTCAACCACACATTCTTCAATAAAATAATATTTTCCATCACATCAATACTTTTTTCTTCTTATTCAAGATNTCAACCACACATTTTTTAATAAAATAATATTTTCCATCTCATCAATACTTTTTTCTTCTTTTTCAACCACACATTTTCCATCATATCACTATTTAAAAATCAATTCTTCCCCCAAAAATCCCTACCAAACACACTCTTAATGTTCTTATGAATAGCATTTTCTTAAGCTCCAAGTAAAATGTATCTTAACCATCTAGAGTTATCACCTCTACGATCAAAGTTCTAAAGAGTATAAAGCGCGGAAAACGAGTTTCAAGCTTTATGAGTCTAGGTGAGGCCTAACTGTAGGAAAATGTCTTCTTATTTTGACTATTATTTTAATTTTTTAATCATTTTAAAAATTATTTAATAATTAAAATAATAAATACTTTAAAATTATAAAATAATATGTTTACTTAATAATTCATACAATTAGTCAATTATACAATTTTTAAATGAAAAATTTGAAATTAACGTCAAATAAAAAACTTCTAAAAAATTGATAAAGCCGTTCAGGTGCGCATCAAGCGATCAACAAGAGAGTTGACCACTTAATTT